AGAAAGGAATTGACAGCTCAATCCTACAGATTCTTTGTTGAACATGCCTACAATCAATTCTTTCAGCATGAAGCATTCCATCAATCTGCAAGAGCAGGGACAAAGGTCAGGGAATGCGGTTCAGGTGACTTCCACACATCTACAAAGCTCGATGGCTACATCTGGGTAGCTGGAAAGGACAAGATCGCTCACATCCCAGGATCAGAGCAACAGAATGTGGACATGGAAGGTCACGATGATGATGATGATGCTGAAGATGATTTGGAGTTTTTGCCAAGACTACAAGTTTTTGTCAGGAAAGAGGAGGAAAAGGCATCAGGCTCTCAGGAAAGAGAGGAAGAAGGTGTATGCTCTCAAGAAAGAGAGGAAACACAACCACAACAAGAAAGTGAGGTATTACCTGATGCAAATCCTCGAAGAAATATGGAAGATCGACAGGGACTGTTCTTAGTCAGGCAACTCAAACCAGAGCACAGACAGATCCTCCATGATATTACACTCCAAGGCCAAACAATCCTCACAGAAGATGATCTTGAAGGAAGTCGACCCCTTGAACGTGGTGACATAAGCTTCTTCTCATTATGGTTGATGATGTCAGCATTATCAGATGCTTCTTTTTCAACATTTATGGAGCAGTATGCACCTATGATGGGTTATGAGATCTCTTACGACAAGTACTATGAGTTCAAACTGGATATTGACAAAGTTCTCAAGGACAATGAACACCTCGGCGCAGAAAATTTCTTTGGAGCAGAGGATCCTCATATGGTGGACGATGATCCAGACACTCCACTTCCAGATCTTCAAAGACCAGGCGCAGGTGATCCTGAGTACAAGCATACCATTGAAAGTTTGAACATTGAGGACAAACATATCATTTTGGAAACTGATGATGACAAATTGGTTGAGTGTACATTGAAATGGATCAGTATGTGCAATCAGAATGTTCAACGAAAGATCAAGGAAAGTTTTGTCAAACCAGAAGAAGGACAAGAGAAAGAAAAGGATGAAGAAGAGAAGATTGCTGACGAAGAAAAAGAAGAAGAAAAAGACACACAGGAGCCACATGTCCCAGCTGAAGGCTCTTCAGAGAAAGAGGAATCAGCTCCACCTGAACGCTCCTCAGAAAAGGAGGAATCAGGGGAGAAGAAGACAGACATTCAAGATGATGAGACAGCTCCGGAAGTGAAACCTGCAGTTCGACTTTACTATGGTCAAGATATCACTGGAAACGAAGATGATTCAGTTTTTCGAAAATTGAAGGATTGTTTTTCAGATGGTTACCATGGTGAATGGGCAGGATTTTACAACAAAGGTTATCCAGCGTCTTCGAAGCATCGACATATGTTTTGGCATGTTAAGTACAGGAAGACCATGTCTCCACATCATGATTTTTGGTACCATCTTACAGATGACCAGTTGATGGTTGAGTACACTGCCAGACACAAGAATCAGGATCCACAACTAGAATTACAAGAACTTAATCAGCGCATTGAATATGGTTGTAGTGATCCAAGGATGCATCCTCTTCATCAAGACAAAGCAGAAAGATCCTCAAAAGAAGCAGAACAGAGGATTGATGACGATTTTGGAAATCTCACAAAGGTACTCCAAGATTACGTTGAGGAACACAAGGTCTTGCCTTACTGTATGATCTTGCATAGCTTGGCTTACAGGTATTTAGGTGGAGGCCTATCAGACCCAACGTACAAGGATGCTGAATTTCCATACAGATCCTCTCCACAGATAACAGCAATGTTTTGGAATTTGGGAAACTGGTGCAGAAACAGATTTGAAAAATGCCCGGTTCCAGAAAGATTTCAACAATTCATTCCACACATTGACTACACTATCGATGAGGATCATGAAAAATTTGATGAAACCCAATCACAGTTCAACAATTACTTCATCAATGTCATCAAGAACTTTGGAGGACATCTTTTCATGAATTGCGAGGCTGGTTCGTTGTATCCTCACAGAGAAAGACTCGACGAGGTTGACTTCAAAACTTGCTTCAATGACTATCATGACTTGATGGTGGCCGCTCGCCTTGGAAAGGATGGCTATATCAAGCAAATTGCTGGATATCACACAGATGACAACGACACACGAGTTCGACAAGTCTCATGGGCAATCTTTGAAGTATCTTGGGGAAAGACAAAGGATCGAGATACAGATGAGATTGTTGACTTGACAAGAGCTAGGATGAGAATGACACGTGTGTGCGTTTATCAGTCGGACAGAAGTATGCATCAGACTCTGCTGGGATTGTTGGTGAGTGCTTAGCTGTTATGGCTTTTGAGTGCGCCAGATATCAAGTTGACTTCATCGCAGGTGATGGAAACAAGGCATGCTATTACAGCACACCAAAATCTCCAGGTGTCCCTACATATCAACACAGCCTTATCCAATTCTGGATTAACAGAATGGTAGGGGTTGCAACACAAGCCATGCGCAAGAATTTTGATCCAACTTGCCCTCCAATCAGGGTCAAGCATTTCATTTCTTGCAGTTATCGTGACTTGGATTTTCTTGCAACGCACTTGGATGGCATTACAACAGCAACATACACCGACGAGCTCATGAAAAAGACAACTGGTAAAGGTGATTGTTGTATGTTAACAGTTGTTGAGTGGGGTCATTCACGTTTGATGTGTGAGGAACACCCAGAAGACTTTGAGGATGAAGATCACATGAACTATGTGGGTGAATTTTACTTCAAGGTAAATGAAACAATTCACGTTTGATGTGTGAGGAACACCCAGAAGACTTTGAGGATGAAGATCACATGAACTATGTGGGTGAATTTTACTTCAAGGTAAATGAAACTTGCTTACATGGTGATCACAACATCTTCATGGTTGCTCCAAATGATCGCGATGCTCATAATCCAATTCTTATCCATCTTGATCCTTCTGATATGTCATGGAATGAACGACATCATTACAAACAGGCCTACAAGAAGAAGCAGTATGCTGATTCAAGAAAGGAAAGACAGAAGGAGAAAAAGAGAGGCATATGAAGATCAAGCATCGACGTATCAGGGCAACACAGAGTGGGGTGGATCCTCATCTTCAGCGTCCAGACCATGGAGATCAAGTGAGTGGCGATGAGTGAGTGTACACTTCTTTAATTGAAGATAACACAGCATGAGAAGCCGTGTGCAGTTTTTCTGTGCGTTCAACTTATTTCACACAAATGGCATATACTCTTTTAGATAGAGATAATGCCACAAGTGTCTGAACTTCAATTTAATGTAAAATAGATACTCTTGTAAATAGAGATACTATATACATTTATCTCCATGAATCATCCGGCGAGCAGACCACTCCGAATGGAGCGAACTTCAAAATTTACCAACTTCGATTTCAGTCCATTGTTTGCTTGAATGAGCAACTTTGGAGATCCGCTATTTCCGTTTATTTCGTGATTTGGTCAATTGTTTTTGTATGACCTGAATTTCTGAATCTTGCGAACCCGAACTTTTCAATTCGAACTTTCACCGGTAGAGCGAGGCATTTTGCCTGTGGAGAGACCGTGCGCGAAGCACCATTGGTCGCTACTGGAAAAAGTAGCGAATCCGCTGTTCTTTTTCGACATGTCCTTAGGACATTCGCTGCTTTCACGTGTTTTTCAATTCGAAGCCACTGCGTAACTCCGGTTTCTTTTGCTATTTGCCATTGTGTAGAGAAGTCAGGAAGATACTCTTAATACCAAATGGGTACGGCAAGGCGTAGTGCTCTACTCATTGCTTTTGAATTTGTGCCTGTGTTTTTGTTTCGACCTAATACCTACATAGGTACATGCATGAGTATTGAGCACATTTATATGCGCCCTTCAAGGCTCAAGAAAGAGGTATATAGTGTAACCCTGTAGACAAGCACTGACCGGCAACAGGCTGAGAGTAAAAGAGTGCTGTCATTGGGGAAGACGCCTTAGCTGATCTTGAAGTAGACGCTAGGGCCCCTCTTCAGCCCTCCCCCCAATCCCCCGCTCCCGCTTTTTTTAAATTTAAACTTAAACCCAAGTTACATTAGTTGGTTTTTGCGAACTAACCTTCTCTGGAAAGCTGACAGGATTACATGTGATAGATAGATAGATAGATAGATAGATGGATGGATGGATGGATAGATAGATAGATGGATAGATAGATAGATAGATAGATAGCTGATAGATAGCTTGGTAGATAGATAGCTAGATAGATAGATAGCCAGCTAGATAGATAGATAGCTAGAGAGATAGATAGCTAGATACCTCGATAGATAGATGGCTAGATAGATAGCTAGATAGATAGATGGCTAGATAGATAGCTAGATAGATAGATAGCTAGATAGATAAAGAAGTAGCTAGATAGATAGCTAGCTAGATAGATAGATAGATAGCTAAATAGATAGGTAGATAGTTAGCTAGATAGATAGATAGATAGCTAGATAGATAGCTCGATAGCTAGATAGCTGGATAGACAGCTGGATGGCTAGATAGATAGATAGCTAGATAGATAGAAAGCTAGATAGATAGCTAGATAGATAGTTAGCTAGATAGCTAGATAGGTAGATAGATAGCTAGCAAGATAGCTAGCTAGATAGGTAGATAGATAGCTAGATAGATAGATAGCTTGCTAGATAGATAGCTAGCTTGCTAGATAGATAGCTAGCTAGATAGCTGAGAATAGGTGTGACAGCAACCATTTTGTGACTTCGCCGTCTCAAGTCTCTAGTGTATGTGGGGTCAGGTTCTCGTGGAAGGATTTCGTTTCCTTAGGGAAGGGGTCCTCACAGGCTTTTGGGGTCTCCAGTGCCCAATCCATTGTGGCAGCTCCAGCTTGCCAGCAATCCTTTTGGCCTTCATCCTTGGATTTTTGCTCTGCCTTGGATCTATCTTTCTCTGTGGACTTTGGCTCTTCTGCCCCCTCCATAGGGCTCCCACGGCGGAGGTTCCGATCCTCCCTCCTCTTCACCCCCGGGTGAGAAATCGACTGCAAGGCTACCGGGCCTTCTTGGATGAGTGAGCACCAGCCAGGGGTAGCAGATCTTGTCGCTGCCTTAGACAGACTCTCTCTAGCCATCCAGGCAAGACCAGCAACAGCAGCTGCAGCAGCATCCGCCAGCCCTGCCCCTTCGGAGTGGGAGTTGATTCGAGAGGAGGAAGAGGAGCAGACACACAGGAGCCAACCGGACCTTGACAGGAGGAGGGCGTTGGTGAAGGACGGTGATTACAACTCTTTCGCAGAGCTCATCCCTGAGTGCCCCCGGCATCAGAGGAGGAGTTTCGCCTGAGTTCAGAGCGAAGAGAGCATTTGAAGCAGGACACTGGGCACGGCTCGCCCTTGCTGGCCGCCTGGCCAAGCCAAGGGCAACCTTGGCTTTGAACCTCGCTCCGAGGGTCTACATCATCCTGCGTGCTCGTGGGCTGTCATCCCCTACAAGGGTATCAAACGCCTCAGATCTGAACCGCATCACTGGTCATTTCGACCAGTCTACCATTTGCCACGGCTTCCCCAGTCTGGCAGAAGCTGAAGCGTACTGTGCTGGTGCTGGCATTGATCTTCCAGCCCAGCACGTATGGCACTAGAGGAGGAGGAGGTTGCGATGGAAGGCATCACACCCATGTTGTTCCGGTGGCCTTTGCCGGAGGAGGAAGAACCACTTCCAGTCCAGGCTATCCCACTTCTTCGAAGGCAAGATGGGATCTTGATGGCATTCCCCAGCACAGCTATCACAGATGCAATGGCAGACGCATGGTCAGAACCAAACCACCCAGGAGAGGAGGCTTTGGTAGGAGCAAGGATGAGATGCTTTGTCCCGGTTTTCACAGGGATTGGAGAGCCAGAGAGATCCGTCGAGGTCCTTGTATTGGATCTAGCATCTCCACCTGGCGACACAATGTTCGAGCCCTACAAAGAGGAGCTGGCAGACTTCCCTTTTGCCATCAGGTTCTTGGAGGAGGGAAATGTGGATACTATGAACATGGACAACCTTATGGCCCAGGTCAGGGAGTGGTTGTCACAAGAGCTGGGGGACAGGATGGCGTTCTACTCAGCGCAGGAAGAGGAAGAAATACCGGGAGAGGCATCTTCCCCCCCAATGCGCAGGAAGAGCGCTTTGCGGCCAGGCAGGCCAAGTCATCCCGGTGGCACTTCTATCAGCGGGCCCGGCATGCCCGTAGCACCACAGCACAAAGCAGCCACCCCCAAGAAACCTACTGTGGCCAGCCTTGCAGCAAAGGTCGACCAGATCATGGACGTCTTGCCGACCCTTACAGCACAACTACAAGCAATGGCAGACCAGCAGGAGAGGCTGGGACCAGTCTCCCCTTCCCGGACCAGCCCGAAAGCAAACCAGCCATATACTCAGCCGGCACCCAGGGCAAGCATGCCCCTATCTTCCCAGCTGGTCAAGCAGCAAACCAGCCCTACAGCTTTGGCATCCTTGCTGGGCCCCCCTCCAAGAACTCGTTTTTCCCCAGAGGAGCCCCCATCTGCCCAGATTCGGCAGATGGCAGAAGACGAGCCAGTGGAGATGGATGCAGACCCCCAAAACCAACCTGCCGACCACTACCTGGCAGCCCTACTGGCCCAGAGCAGGGCTTTGAATACCCTGGTGAGCCACCTGCAGGGGTAAAGGGATCCGCAGGCAGAGAAAAGCTTCAGCGGGAGCTAGCCAGCCAATCAGGTCTTTTCTTCTTGAAGGTCTGCCAGAACATCCACAGAAGGATGGATCCAGCTGGGTCAATGCCAAGTACTGTGGAGGAGGCCAAGGGTACGTCTCTGACAAACTACTTGGAGAGGTTTGGGGGCTTTGGCCAAAACCGAGAGCTGGGCCTAGTGATGTGGGCCTTAGCTCACATTTTCAACCATGCCTCCCGAGGCAACACCCTAGCAGTCCAGGACCATGTGGCAATGCTAGCTGTGATGATCGAACAGGCTGCGCTGGACGGAGGAAACTGGCAGGTTGCCTGGCTGCTAGGGTTGCTAGACGATCCCCCCCAGAACTTGTGGCTGAACACAAATCAGTCGGCGACAGGAGGGAGGAAGCCCTTCGGAGCGCTATGCTCCCAAACATGGGCGACTACAGCCCTGGCATATATAAAGGAGAACGAGATTCTCTTCAACAAGCGGGCCGAAGCAACAGGGGCCAAAAACTCCCAGAGCCCGGGACCTCCAACATACAACCCAAAAGCAAAGCCAAAGCGCAGGCCAGGAGGAGGCAACCAAAACACTGTGCCCCCCCAGCAGCAGCAGGCGCCTCAGGAGAACCACGGGTGATCCCAGGAAGTGATGGCCCGACAGCACACTATGAGGAGTGCGAGGAGCAACATCCAAGCACCCACACCATGCAAGCAGAATTTGACAATGTTTCACAGGAGCAGGTGATCCCAGACAGCATAGCTTCTTTTTCTTTCTCCTTTAGCTCCTGGTGTTTCTCACTCATCCGTCAGGTCCTCGCCACTCGCACAGATTTTGGCAGGTACCTGGCTTCCACTTTGTGTCTCCGCCGAGATGGCCCAGATTCATCTCCTACCGCTCTGTTTCCATTGCCGCTGCCTTGCTTCCACCCTGCAGCTACTCTGGACCCAAAGGTGCCAAAGAGGAGGAGGTATGAAAGTATGATTGACCGGCAGTTGTGGGTCGTGATCTGTGCTCTGAACTACACTTACTGTTCACGAGCGACCTTTCCTCTTGAGCTTCTGAGGAGGCAGCCAAACAAGTTGCGACAAAAAGCAATTGACAGATTGAGGCTGCTTGTACGAGCGTGTGATCCTGGAGCCGCAATTGAAGTCGCCTCCAGTGGCAGAAAGAATTTGGTTTTATTGGCTCGGTTACAAGAACTGACCACAGCAGCATGTGCATTGGGGTTTTCTACAAATCCCTACCATGAGGAGTCAGCAGGTATGAGATTGCCCAAGAACAATTCATGGGATCCGCGCCTGAAGCCATACGGCGCGCTGGATGCTGAGAGATTGAAGATCACAGGCACTGGGGCTTGGGAGGCAGAGAAGTACCTCAGTGACGAGCTCTGGATGCCCTATGTCGAACCTCAAGTGCTGGAACTTGAGACACCAGTTTTTGAGCGAGGCATCCCAAATCTTGAGGCTGAGAAAAGCAGTGCCGTTTTTGGGCTTTTTCAGAAATGGGATGAGAACAATTTGTTGGAGCTACACTCTGCAAAAGTTGTCCCTGCGGGCTGCGAGGGCAAAGTGAAGATCTTCAATGCATACAAGTCAGCCACCCAGGATCGCCAGATAGGCGACAGGAGATGGAGGAATGCTTTTGAGGGTCGGATTCGAGGCCCCAGCAAATCTCTCCCATCTGGCGCCCAGATTTGCCGGCTGATTTTGCGGAAAGACCATGGCGTGAGAATCTGCGTGACTGACCGTTCAGATTTTTACCACCAGATGGCTTGCAGTTTTGAGAGGTCCAGATCAAATTTGGTTTGGCCCCCTATGGACTTGGGGCAGTTCAAAGGTTTTGCAGCCTATGACAGGTTTGTGCAACGAGCTTCTACAGCGAGCAGAAAAGTGGATAGGACAGTCTTTGGCGATGAGTTTGCAGAGCCATTCTTTTTTGACAAGGACACGTCAGATTCCTGTCAGGTTTTTGGATCTTTTCGGTCCGTGCTGCAGGGGGACCAGCTTGGGGTAGAGTTTGGAATTTCTGCCCACGTTGGTCTGCTGATGGCTGAGGGCGTTTTACATGAGGAGCACATGTTGAGAGCTGACAGGTTGCCAAAGCCCAGTGGTCTTTTTCAAGGGCTGGTCATTGATGATTTCTTCAACATAGCAGAGGTCCCTTCCTCCTCGCTGCGAGGGCCTCCTCGCTCCCAGGACAATAAGGGCCTCAAAGCTTTTGCCCAGGCAAAGAGGATCTACGAGTCAGAGGGCTTGAAGGGATCAGACCCAAAGGACATAGTAGATCAGCCCAGAGCAACTGTCGTGGGAGCGCACGTGGACTCCTCTCCAAGTATGACAAAGCAAGGCCATGTAGGTGTTGCAGCCCCTCCAGAGAAACGTTTGGCGTTGACTTGGATAGCATTGCAATCTGCGAAACTGGCATATACAACAGGAGACCTCCACGCCTCTTTGGTGGGGGGCTTGGTCTCAGCCTTTTGTTTTCGAAGACCAGCTATGGCAGTGCTTGACAAGGTTTTTGGAACGGTGCCAAACGAGACCAGCTCAGCAACAGAGAATGTCCTTTTTGCTTTGCCTCGCAAGCATGCGAACGAGCTTGCCTTAGCCTCGGCCATCTTACCAGTAGCTGCTTCGAACATCTTGGCTCAGGTATCTTCCACAGTCTATGCTTCGGATGCTTCAAATGAGAAGGGAGCCTTTTGCTGTTGCAAGGTCTCCCCTAGGGTCAGTGAAGCACTATGGTTGAGCGGAGATTTCAAAGGTGCGAGGTCTTTTTTGGAGCCTTGGCCAAGGAGTTTCTTGCGGGCGGCAGAAAGTGCAGAGGAGGAGGACTGGGAAGGCTGGAGAGAGGAGGCACCAGATGCCTGGCGCACAGAGGATGAGGATCCTGCCGCTGCCCTCGGTCCAGAGCGGCCCCTTGCTTGTTTTTATGACTTCATTGAGGTTTGCGGAGGCAGTGGAGTTTTGTCTGATGAGATGGCTAGAAGGGGCTTCGTGGTAGGGCCAATCATAGACATCACTTACAGCAGACAATTTGACCTGATCTCTCACAGGGTCTTCAGCTGGCTCCTCTTCATGATCCAAAACAGAAGGGTCAGAAGCATTGCCATAGAGCCGCCTTGCACAACCTTCTCTCCGGCAGCTCACCCTGCGGTGCGCTCATATGTGCAGCCAAGAGGCTTCTGTCAGGAGAACCCAAAGGTCTGGGTCGGCAACAGATTGGCTTTCCGGGGGTTGGCACTTTTATGGGCAGCCCTATATGCAGAAGTCCTGGGCTTGCTCGAGACTCCCAGGAGATCAAAAATGGCTTGGCCGGAGGAGTGGCTCTACCTTTTGAGCTTGCCGGGTATCAGAGAGGTCTCCACTGCCTCATGTGCTTTCGGCAGTATCCACCAGAAGGAATTTCGTTTCCTTACTTGCAACATGAATCCTGAGGAGATTGTGCGCAAGTGCAGTCGGGACTCGTCGGGACCACCCACATGTGAAGATTGAAGGGCAGCTCACAAAAGGGACGGCCGTTTACTGTGCAGGGCTTGTCAAGGCTTTGGGAAAGCTTTTTCAAAAACACCTCCAGCTTGAGGAGAGGCTCCGGAGCAAGTGCGACTTTGATGAGAAGGGACTTGAGGAGCCCCTTGCAAACGAAGTTGTGAGATGCGAGGAGTGGAAAGTTGTATCAAGCTGGAAGTGGAATGGCAGGAGCCATATCAATATTTTTGAGATTGCCTCTTATCTCCAAGCTTTGAAAGATGCAGCTAGAGAAGGAGGAGGACGTTTCTCTTTCCTGCTGGACTCCTCAGTTGCCCTGTTTTCGACTTCAAAAGGTCGGAGTTCCTCAAAAGCGTTGGCACCACTTCTCAGGAAGATCATGGCGATTGCTATCGCTTTTGGGGTATTTGCCTCAAATCACTTCTGTCCAACACGCCTCAATGTCTCTGATGATCCCACTCGTTCATGCCAGCTGCGAGAAGCTGTCCCTCATGATCCCATTTACCATGCCTTGGACTTTGATGGACTTTACAAGCTGGCTGAACTCCCCAAACTTAGACGATGGACTTCGAACTGGGTAATCCTGGTCCTTGGACTTTCAGGACAGGGACACTTCTCACTGCCAGGTCTGACTCGACAAGACTGGCGTTGCAGGCAGAGGGGTCTTCCAATCTCACTCCACCAGACTGTCTTGGATTTTGACAGCACTTTGGGATTTCCAGGTGAGGGCCCTTTCCCTTTTGGATTTGGAGGTTTTTGGATTTTCCTGGTAGTTAGTAGTAGTGCCCCCGGTAGGACATGGACTTTGGTAGGTAGTGTCTCTTGCCATGGCATGCAACCACGTCACGCTGAAGACAAAGCTCGAGTGGAAAGGAGGCAGCACTGCATTTTGGAATATGGGCGGCCTGTTCAGACGGTGACAAAGCTGAACAGAGACCGTCTCTTGAAAAACTTTGCGGACTGGCTTAAGACAAAGGGAAATTGCCTAGCCACGCTGCTGGAAGGGGCCTACAAAGACCCAGAAAAGCTGAACCGGCTGCTTTCTGAATATGGTAGGGCTCTTTTTGATGCGGGTAGGCCGTACAGTCACTACTCTGAAACAATAAATGCTGTCGGATCCTCCATGCCCTCCATTAGGAGGTTATTATCAGGTGCGTGGGACATGGCTTTTGCATGGCTCAGAGAGGAACCCTTTGAACACCATGTGGCTTGCCCTTTCCAAGTTTTACTGGCTTTGCTCACGGTTTGCATGTGCTGGGGATGGATCGAAATCGCTGGCATTTTAGCCTTGAGCTGGGGTGGCATTTGCCGAATTGGCGAAGTTCTGGCGGCACACAGGAAGGACCTCATTTTGCCTTCAGATGTCATGAACACAGCGGCATCAGTACTGCTCAAAGTGCAGGAACCCAAGACGAGATTCCGTGCCGCTCGACATCAGGTGGCAAAGATAGAGTATGAGGACCTGGTAGAGCTGATCAGGTGCGCTTTTGAAAGGCTGAGGCCAGAGACAAAGCTATGGCGCTCGTCCCCTCAGCTTTTGAGAAATCGATTCAAACAGCTTCTGGCAGCTCTTTTGTTGCCAGTCAACTCGAAGCCTGACCGGAGGACGCTGGACCTTGGCAGCATGCGAGCGGGAGGAGCAACACACCTTCAGATGCTGCTGGAAGATGCAGAGCTTACGAGGCGCAGAGGTCGTTGGCTCTCTGCGCGCACCATGGAGATCTACCTTCAAGAGAGCGCTGCAACCCTTTTCTTCCCACAGCAGCCACCGGAGACAAAGATCAGGATCATGCAAGCTGCCAATGCCTTCACAGGTATGCTGGAAAAAGTGCAGTTTTTTACACGAAACTTCATTCCTCCATCAACCTGGTTCTTTTTGGTAGCGGCGAAGTCAGAATCAAAACAGATGGGACAGAATGGGAGACAAAGAGACCCATGGGAGGACGAGGCACCCATGGAACACCCTGCAAAGCAGGGAGCGACAGAGAGATGCAAACCGGAGACGCAAAAGAAGGGCAGCCGAGCACCTGAGAATAGGTGTGACAGCAACCATTTTGTGACTTCGCCGTCTCAAGTCTCCCCATAACCCCCCCCCCTGGGAGACAAAGAGACCCATGGGAGGACGAGGCACCCATGGAACACCCTGCAAAGCAGGGAGCGACAGAGAGATGCAAACCGGAGACGCAAAAGAAGGGCAGCCGAGCACCTAGATAGCTAGCTAGCTGGATAGATAGCTAGCGCCCTCCCTCAATCCCCCCCACCCGCTTTTTATCTAATCCCAAGCTCCCGCATCTGTAAATATTTGGGTGAACATGCTCACATGTAGAACATCCCATGCAAAATGGAAGGTGAACATGCCAAAATGTGGCAAATACCATACAAAATGGAAGGTGAACATGCCCACATGTAGGAAATCCCATGCAAAATGGAAGGTGAACATGCCCAAATGTGGCAAATACCATACAAAATGGAAGGTGAACATGCCCACATGTAGTAAATCCCATGCAAAATGGAAGGAGAACATGCCCAAATGTGGCAAATACCATGCAAAATGACAAATTCAAGTTCCAAACCGTTGCAAACACTAGGCAAATGGTACCAGCCAAGAAATCCAAAAAAAAATCCCAAACCTGCTCAAAAAAAATCCTAAAACTATTTCACACCCTTTAAAAGTCATCCCCCGAAATGAATCAGACAGGCCTTGTCATTCGGGGGTCGGCTGTGAGGCTGGCTTCCTCCATGCCACCAAGACACGCGCAGAGGAGGGCAGCACCAGCGGTGCAACTTCAGGGGGTTTCTTAAAATGAGGGTACCCCAAAATGGATGATATATGGTGATTTGGGTATCCGAAATTTCATCCATGTGGAGGTTTCCGTAAAATGGGGGTACCCCAATTGCTGGATGGTTTATTTCATGGAAAATCCCAATCTAAAATTGATGAATATTGATGATTTGGGCGTCCCCTAATTTTAGGAAACCTGCTTTTGGAGTTGTGTTCACCCAGACCTGTTGGTCTTCTCTTGTATTAATGATTATCTAGGTGACGATAGTTATTTTCAAACACCTTTCAGGAGCCTCATATTTTCGAGACGTGACCCGTATGAATTTTCGCAAGATTGTTCAACTGATGAAATGTTTTTTCCCCACCTGCCAGGTGAGGGTTGTTAGATTTTATGTCAGTTGCCTCCTCCTCCTCCTCCTTCTCCTCCTTCTCCTCCTCCTTCTCCTCCTCCTCCTCCGCCTCCTCCTGCCTCGTCCTCCTCTCCTCCTCCTCCTCGTCCTCCTCGTCGTCCTCGTCGTCCTCGTCGTCCTTGCTCAACTGCGACCCGCGATCCACAGTGTTCTCTGCCGGACCTCAACCACGACCATCCACGCCCAGTGTTCCCTGCCGGACCTCAACCACGACCATCCGCGCCCAATGTTCCCTGCCGGACCTCAACCACGACCATCCTCGCCCAGTGTTCCCTGCCGGACCTCAACCACGACCATCCACGCCCAGTGTTCCCTGCCGGACCTCAACCGCGAGTATCCACGCCAAGTGTTCCCTGCCGGACCTCATGTAGGAAGATATGGGACAAAGAATGCGCAGAAGAAAGTTAGAAAGAATGTCAGAAAGAATGTCAGAAGATATGTCAGAAGATATGCCAGAAGATATGCCGGATAGAATGCCAGATAATATGCCAGAAGATATGCCAGATAGAATGCCAGATAGAATGCCAGAAGATTTGCCAGATAGAATGCCAGAAAATATGCCAGAAGATATGCCAGATAGATATGTCAGAAGATATGCCAGAAGATATGCCAGAAGATATGCCAGAAGATATTTCAGAATATATGCCAGAAGATATGTCAGATAGAATGCCAGAAGATATGTCAGAATATATGCCAGAAGATATGCCAGATAGAATGCCAGAAGATATGTCAGATAGAGTGCCAGAAGATATGCCAGAAGATATGCCAGAAGATTTGCCAGATAGAATGCCAGAAGATATGCCAGAAGATATGCCAGATCATATGCCAGAAGATATGCCAGATAGAATGCAAATAGAATGTCAGAAGATATGTCAGATAGAATGCCAGAAGATTTGCCAGTAAGAAAATGTATAAATGTCATGGTGGGGATCACACGAAGTAAAGTAATTTTTTTCTCCGGCCATGGCCCAGAACATTTCTAAAGCGGGAGATCCCTTGAAATATGTGTATAATTACTATGCTATACGTATGAATAGTATGAATATGACTTAAATCATGAGGAACAGCTGTCAACTTCATGTATCATCCCAATACTGATTGGTGGTTTGGAATATTTTTTCCCATTCAGTTGGGAATGTCATCATCCCAACTGACGAACTCATAATTTTTCAGAGGGGTAGGTATACCACCAACCAGATTCCAATAGTTAATTATTAACTATCATCATTGCCTATCATCATTAACTATCATCATTAACTATCATCAACTGTTAAATAACCAGATGGTATCATTCCAATAGCTTGACCATATTCCATACAGGAGAAGGGTCTGGAGAAATCACGCCACTTTCGAGCCGGCGTCTTCTTTGTCACGGCCGTTGTATATGTGAATGTGCTGCTCTTGGCCACTTGGAACCTGCCGCGTGGGGTCGTTATTCTTTGGATTTAAATGAGCTAATGGCTAATAGGCAGAATCATTTTCTGAACCATGGGAGTTTGGTATATCCAAGTTTGGAGCATAATCTTCCCGGAATCATCATTTTCGATGTTGTTTACTGGGGAACTTGCCGTCTTTGGCCGTCATGGGTAATAATGAATGTGGTTGTTTCAGGAAGGGCTCAGGCAAAGCCAGAAGCTCATGCAAGACATAGGTCTGCTCAAGGCTCTTGAAAGAATGGTGAAAGAATGACATGGTGAGTACTGAAAGATACTGACAGATACTCAAAGGTTGAAACATGGTGAAACATGTTGAAACTTCAAATTCCGAACTGAAAGTTGGAGTTTGTCCCATCTGGCACCACCAAATTTTCCAGCGGATGATCCCAATTGCCCTGAGATCTGGCCGATGACGTTCCCCATTTTGCATTGCTTCTTCATGCCCAAAGAGCTGCTCGCAGTGCTGATGACCTTAGATTGGAGGCCAGCCTCTCCGGGCACTTGGGTGGAGCCAAGGATTTTTTTTTTTAAACCCTGGGTAAGATGGAAGATTCTTGAACGATCTAACATGGGATATTCCGGGATATTCCCACATAGTATCAACAGAATCGTTGACATCATGGGGGGAACTTGCTGGGGATCAGTTTGGATCCCCCGGCGCCAAGCGGCCCAAGCCCAAGCCACCCCGCGAGGCTCTTCCGTTGGGCCTTGGCGGTGCTTTGCGCCATGCTAGTGGTGGAACTTGTGCAGAGCCAGTTGAAGTTGGCCAGGACCAGTCTCCTGCGATGTGTTGGGAATTGATGGCTATAGATTCTATAGATTTGATGGGGATATGAGCAACAATCCCGTGATATAATTGATATGATGATGGTTCGGTAGTCAAACATGGTTTTCCTGGAAAACCCTGGGACTAAACTGACTAAATGAAGGATTTTATGGAAACATGATCTATAAACGGTGGACTTCCAATTGCCACGCTTGATCACCGGGGGCATCTAGGGACTTATATAAATAACTTACTGTAGAAAATCAGTAAACACTTTGGTACTTTCATAGATCCCATAAATCCTGGCTGGATCTTTGAAAAACATATTATAGGAATTTCATCACCATGGCGATGTCATCAATGAACGCCAGGTCAGTTTTTGGTTCTCAGCCCTGGATCCAAAAAGGGGATTCCGACGTCAGGACGCTGCACCATGTAGGTCTGCTGACCTGCTTCTGCCTGATGAGTGGCATCCCTTGGATCTCCCACTATGACCTACTCCTCTTTGCCACGGCGCCCTTGCTCTACATGAGCTTCCAATCGATGAAATGCCTGGAATCTTTGGATAGATGGGCTGGATAGATGGGCTGGATAGATGGGTTGGAAATGGAGGGGAATTTCAGTTTGGGTATCCCAATTGCCTGATAAACATATTAAACCTTCCACAGAAACCAGGCTTTGAAATAGTTAAAAGTTTTTTTTCCCTCACACATTTGGAACCAAAAAAATTCGGGGCTGATGATTTTTACGCTCCCTCAGCTGGATCTGGTCATTATTGGATATTGATCACCAAATTTTTGTGTTACCCTCTGGTTATGACTAACAGTTCGCCATGGGAAATGGCCCATAGAAATAGAGGTTTACCTAGCTAGAAAATGGTGGATCTTTCCATGGCTAACTGTTAGACATAACCAGATGGTAAGGACATCTTTGGATTAAGACGCTTATTCCAGTGCCCCCACTGTCAAGGTGTGCCAGGCTCAAAATATCTCACAACCACGTAACTACGTGTCTATTTCCATTCTGCTTGATTCCATTCATCCCATATTTCCGGTTTCCTAAGTCATGGGGGTACCCCCAAATCACCCAATCATTAGACCATCTTCTAGATCTTTTAGCATTGAAACAAGCATGGTGACTCGGGGATCCAGCATTTTACTACCAAACATCCACCGAGTCACAGATTCCGGTGACAGTTTTGCACAGGTCATTTCCATAAGATTCCCCCTTGATATCCACAATGTCACCGTCTTTTTGGCATCAATGGTGACTCAAACACCGCAAAAAGCTCCATCATATCCCCATATCAAGGGCCAAGGGCCATTAAATCAACTAAATCCACCAGGTTGTCCCATATTTTCCCCATATTTCTTATCATATTCCCCATGTCATCTTCCATAATATTTCCCATAACAAATCTTTCATAATATTATGGGAGATGACATGGGGAATAATATAAGGAAAACCATTATATAATATCTTTCCCATGGTGGACATATATAATATCTTATCATATTTCCAATATCTTTCCCATATCATCTCCCACGATCTCCGGTTTCCCGAAGGAATACTTCGCCCTGTCCTACTTCTACATGCAGACGCGCCCCGGCAGAGGCACACGTCTCCTGCGTTGGATGATGGTCACTTGGTGCAA